TTAGAAAAAAAAAAAAAAAAATTGTGAAGAAACAACAGTGGAAACAGTGACGCCCCTGAGCTACTGGACCTCCGTAAAACGGTGCTGGCCACAAGCAGCATCCGTCGCAGTGCTCACCACACAACAGCCCACAGTAAGTCTAAAAGAACTGAAACCATAATCTCTGATCACACGGAAGTAAATCAGAAATCAATAACAAAATATATTTAGAAACTTCAAATATTTGGAAATTAAATAGCATACTTCTAGATAACCTTTGGGCTCAAAAAAGAAAATACAAAGAAAATTCAATAGAATTTTAAATGGAATGTGAAAATATAAATTATAAAAAATAAAAACAGGATAGCATGCAGCTAAAACAGAAATTAGAGATAAGTTTATACTGTAAATACCTAATAGCTGTAAGTACTTAAGTTAGATAAGGTTTTACACCTTAAGAAATTAGACAAAGAATGTCAAATTAAACCTGAAGTAATTATAAGAGTTATAAGAAAATATTAATGATGAGAGCAGAAATCAATAAAATAGAGAATAGAAAGATCAATAAAGCCAAAAGTTGGTTCTTTAAAAAGTTAACAAAATTGCTAACACCTGGAAAAAACGATTAAGGAAAAGAGAAAACACATATTACCAACGCCGGGAATGCGCAAGGGGCACCACCAAAGACTGTAACAAATAGTAAAAGATAATAAATATTATGAACAAATATATGAACATAGATCCAACAACTTAGAAAAAAAATGGCAAATCCTTGAAAAACACACATGTCAAAATTAGTGCTAATAGGAATAAAACCTCCGAAAAGCCCTGTATCTCTTACTTGAAGTTGTAATAAAAAACCCACAATTAAAACTCTAGCTCCAAACAGAAACTGACGAATTCTGTGAAACATTTAAGGAGGAAGCATCAGCAGTTTTACACAAACTCCTTCTGAAAACGAAGGCGTAAGGGATGCCTTCCCATTCACAACCTCGATAGAAATACCTGACAAGCACGCCCTGAGAACATTACAGACCAGCATGCCCCGACCCAACAGGCAATGTGCTCCACCGAACAGCAGCAGACTGAACTCCGCAAAATAAAGAGACATTATAAGCTGGGCGATGGACCAGGAACACAGTGGCTTCAACAGGAAAAACCAATCTCTGCAAACAGACGGCCGAGCTGAGTCTAGAGCAGCCCGGTGAGGGCCCGGTGCCACGGGAGAGGGATCGAGGCACCACGACCAGGTCGATTAAAGAAACCAGAGCACCAATGGCAGTCCCAAGACATGCACCCTGAATTTGAGGCCGCAGTTCTGTCAGGAGACGGCACCAATCTTAGGAACACACACCAGAGCACTAAGGGGCGGAGGAGTGTAATGAATGCAACGTACTCTCAAATGGTTCAGAAAAAATTAGTACAAACAGGCCCTGAGGAAATGGTAAGTCAAAGACGGGAAAATGATAAGAACTGGTAAACCGGGGTAAAGAGCATATGGGGCCACTTATTACTATTTTTGTAACTTTTCTATAGGCCTGAAGTCATTTCAAAGTCAAAAGTTAAAAAACATCCCAGTTTTGTAGAAACTGACGAAATGATTCTGAATTTATCTGCAAGTGCAAAGGTAGCCAAAGAGCTAAAACCGCCACGCAAGCGCCCACGGACGGTGGGATCTGCCCCCGGCTGCAGTGCCACGGTGACGGTGCAGTCGCCCGGACTCTGCAGGAACAGAGAAGCAGGCGTGGGGAGCGCCCCAGGGCAGACCCTCACGCGTCAACTGGTTTTCAGCACACGCACTCGGGCACTCGGGGAGGGCAGGGCCATCCACTCAAAACTGGTGCTTGAACAACTGGACATTTGTGTGGAACAAAATGAACTTAAATCCACAGCTCACACTGTACACAAACACTGCTTCTGAGACGGATCACAGACCGACACATAAACACTAAAATTATAACACGGTGGAAGCACAGGGCATCTTTACAGTACTGAGGCAGACAAAGGCAAAGATTTTAGACATGATGCATACAAGAAAAAAATGACAAATTAGACTTATCAAAGTTAAGTTTTCCTGTTCAGCAAAAGACAGCATTGAGAAAATACAAAGGCAAACCACAGGCTGGGAGAGAACATTTTATGTATCCGACAAAGGAATTGTATACAGAATACGTAAAGACCTCCCAAAACTCAGTGAGAAAACAACACAGTAAAACGGGACAAAAGGCCTAACAAACGCTTCACAGAAGTGTAGCCTGAGAAGATGGTCCCATTTTAGTGATGGGGAAGTACATTAACCACCATGAGTCTTCACAATAGACACCAGAGTGGCTAATGTTAAATGGCCAACAACAGCAAGTGTGGGTGGGGAAGCAGAGCAGCCGGAACCCTCATCCACTGTGGGTGCCATGTAAGTTTGGGGAAGAGTTAGGCAAGTTCTTATATTCCATATGTACATTTATCATCTCACCCAGCAACCCCACAGCTAGAATTTATTCTAGAGAAATGAAAGCATGTTCACAAAAATACTTAAACGTAAGTGTTCATAGCATTTTACTTATAACTGCCTCATTAGGAACCCAAATGTCCATCAACGGGTGAACAGATAAACATATAAACAGATGAACATACATTCATACAATAGAATGTATGTCACCAATAAAAAGGAATAAACCATACAAAGAATCAGCTATCACATTTTTTGAAAGAGGCCTCCTAACAGCATGTAAGCAGCACCAGGCGTTGCTAGTTTTTGTCTGTTTCAGTCACTGCTGTATCCACAACACCTTGGACAGGAACCGGCACATAGTTGGCCCTCAATGTAAATTTGCTGAATGAATGATTTCCTTGAAAATCAAATTATCATACTTTATATTGAT